GTGAGCTATAGGGAGGAGGGGTGGGAGAGGAAGTTGCTCGGCTTGGTGAGGGACGGAGGGAATGCTGCGACGGGGAGGACGCCGCTTTTTGACGCGTTCGTGGATGGCGCCGGTGGAGATGTGGTGGAGAAGGGGGCTAAGATCTTGAAGGTCAGTTCTGCACCATACCATGGTGTCCTGATGCACAATGCCACTGGCGGTACTGATCCGTCTTCTCCTGACAGCCTGGTGGAGTCATAGTCTCGTACGGCATGACCCTCGGGCCCAAGATGCCCTTCCTCATGCAGGCGGTGCTGAGAAACATCGAGCTCAAGGGCTCAACCATGGGATCGAGGAAGGAGTTCCAAGAGATGATTGAGTTCGTCAGACAGAAAGAAATCAAGCCGGTCATTTCGAGGACGGTGCAGGGTCTTGACAATCTCGAGGGAATTGATGGTCTCTTTGAGGATATGAAGAAAGGAAACCAGTTCGGGAAATTAGTTATAGAAATCGCTAGGGACGACGGTACTACTACTGGTGGTAGTAAACTCTGAGAAGGGTAAAACCGGCTGTACATTAAAGTCACGCTCTGGTCCCTAAATCTTGGTCTCTGTGACTGTGTAAGTGGTAAAGAGGAGTAGATTGCAGCCGCCTTCTTCGACGTCTAGTAACTAGGAGGTAGTAGGCTCACACAAGGTCAGGGTACATGTTAAGTTAGGAGTAACGCCCAATTTTCGTACTCCTTGAATGCTGAATGCGCTGGTCCCAGTAATATAGTAATATTGTACATCTTGATCTTTCTATTTCTCTGTCTTCTTATCCGAGGTTTTTGCCGAACGACCATCGTGCCATTCTTTCGGCATCAGCTCAAGGTCTTGATCGAAAGCTTCCCTTTGCGACGCTTTGTCTGGATTTGACTCAGGTTGTCGCTTCGTAGGGAGAGGCTTGCCTTTCGCTCTCGCATCGGCTTCGTGGTCTTCTGACATGGATGGGTGAGGTTCTGAGCTTGGTGATGATGGCGATGGTGGTGGTGGCGGCGTCGAAGCTATTGGTGGAGGAGAAGGTTGAAGCTCAGGCTGAGGTTTAGGTTGAGATCTCCTTACAAGTGGCTTTCTCTCCATTGGCGGATCATCCTCCAGAAGGCGCTTTCCTTCCGCTGGCTTTGCGGCCGCCATGCCAGCATTGTCCCTTCTCTCCTTGATCTCTTTGACAAGTTCTTTCCTTTCTTCTTCCAGACCCTCGTCGAGTTCCCCGTCATCATCTCCCTCAAGCTCCGCCGCATACACATCAGGATGCTCCCGGAAGCAATCCTGCATGCCCTTGAACTTGTCGATGCAGTCCATTCCCTTGGGCTCCTCTTCCGAGAAGACGAAGCATGAAAAAGCAGCGCGGAATTGCTCGCCACAAGGGCCATGTGCCATACCACCGAGACATGGGCAGTCCCAGTTGATCTCACCAGTGACTGGATTGAATGCACCTTCGCTGGATGCTTCTTCTTCGAGCTCAGCGGGGTCGGAAGCAGAGGGTGTAGGCGTAGGATTCGATCCTAACTGTGACGATGCGAAGGATGTGGTCTCGGAGTTGCTGTTGGCGTCCGAAGCTCTTGACGAGAGAACGGACTGTTGATTTTGCTTCTTTTCGCGAGATGACTGTGTAAGGGCATCGAGAGTAGGACTGTTGCCTTCGTCATAATCTGCTTTAGGATCCAGCCGGTCTAGCATCATGTCAGATGGGTAAGGATTTCCTTGGGTCATGCGTTGACCAGCGTAACGTACATTCCGCTGGTTGCTCGGCGAAGAGTTCGCTAGTATTATAATAGTACAAGCCTGCGATAGCAAGACCCCATCTTGCTGCACTGCTCTTCCAACTTCGCGACTTTTGGTGCGGCGGCGCAGTACTCAGAAATCGCTTGGTTGCAGCAGTCGGTACTGGAGCAAAAGAACCCTGGGCAGATCGTAGGATGGAGCGTGACGCAGGACGAAGCATGGCAGGTCGACGAACAGGGGATCAAGATGAAGATGTGTGGTGAGATGCAGGTTGTGGACGTGGACGTGGACATGGAGATTGAAGGGAATCGCCCAAGAGATTGAAGCGCGATGCTTGACGTATGCAAATCTTTCCCTTGGCGATGCACTAAGTAGTACTAGTTAGTAACTAAGTTACGCTGTAAATAAATGAAGACTAATCTAGAATAGGCAATCAGCTTCCTCCACGGATACCGATACCGATACCGATACCGATGGCACCATGGCGCGATGGCACAATCTGCTTTGACGAGCATCAAGTCATGAACTGGCATCCAGCAAAGTTCTTCACTGATGTGGAGCTCAAAACCCCGTATGCCCTGCTACTACTGAATCAGTCCTTGAACGAGTCGGCATACAAGAGGGTTGTTGGTCGTGGTATGCTGCTGCAGCCTTCCGCAGAAGGAGATCTACTAATCATCCCAGCGTCAATGATAACATGTGGTGATGGCGGTGCGAACCAGCTATATGACATATTTCAGCGGCAGCAAAATGATCCATTACGTAGAGTAAGTCGGCCGGGTCACAATCGCTTTGCATGAGCACATAGTGAGACGTCGTGAATCGCTTATCTGTTCCCCAATTCTAGTTTCCCGATGCTATCGTTGGGGATCTGGACTCGCTCAGGGATGATGTACGAGACTTTTTCCAAGACGCAGGAAGAACGCAGATTGTGCGAGTGCCTGACCAGGACTCGACAGACTTCACCAAGGCCTTACGATGGCTAAAGGAGCACGGGAAGAGAAACTCGGAAGATCGTGTCGACGTCGTCGTCTTTGGATGTCTGGGTGGGCGTGTCGATCAAGGCTTCTCGATTGTCCATCACTTGTTCAAGGCTGTCAGTGATGCAGAACTGCTGACGGGAGATATCTATCTGCTCTCAGAACAGAGTCTGTCCTTCGTGCTGGAGAAGGGACGCAACCTCATTCACGGTCTGGCTCCTGGCGCAAACCACATATTTCAAGAGAGCGTAGGAATCATTCCCGTCCGTGGCCCTGCGGTAATCAGTACAAAGGGCCTGGAATGGGATGTAAAGGACTGGAAGACAGAACTTGGAGGACAGCTCAGTACAAGCAACCATATCAAGGCTGACGTGGTGGAAATAGAGGCATCTGATCGGATGCTGTTCACCATAGAACTAGCAAATGTATTGTGCACAAAACCACACTAGAACGAAGAGAAAGCTCAGGCTTGGATTGGGATATCGACTTAGGTGTCGCTGGAGAGCACCAGCACAGCAATGATAATTTCGCGGCCCTTGGGCTTGCCTCGTTGGCCTGCTCCAGTCCTCTTTCTCGACTGGCCTGATAGAAGACCTCATGAGAAGGTGCAAAGGCCGAAACTTGCCGTGTCCGCAATCCAATCCTCACTATCTACCAATGATGAACCATCGATAAGCTCGCCCTCTCCATTTTCCAGTCCTCTAGAGTTGTTGGTAGAAGCTTTCTTCTGCGCTTCGCTACCGGAGTGACTCTCTTTTGCTGTCTCCTTCCCTGCTCTGCCTCGTTGGCAACTCTATCCCCCGGGTTGTAGGCTTAGATCCTCGGCTCCGTTATCGGTGCGATTGCCACCTGACCAGGGCGCGGTCTCTGCTGGCCAAAGGTTCGAAGGTAACCGTGCAAACATGCATGTCAGGCCTTGGGCGGGGCCCGCGTACGAGTCAGTCTATTACAGGAGTGATAGACACGATTTCAAGTCCTGCTGGGCAAACGGCGGCCTATCAGTATTACTTTCTCTCGACAATATTAGGCTTGGGACGTCCGCGGCCACGACCACCGCCACGGCTTGAACGTTGAGCGTACCAATCAACATCGCTGAGCTGCAATTTCCTTGCACGGGGTGCGTTTCGGTGGGATCCAGATCGCTCAGATCTAGAATGAGAAGCACTGTACCTCTCAGAGCCTAGACGACGTCTGTAAGTATGGTTGGGATTCGTTTCAAGCTCGGAAATGGGTGTAAGAAAATCTTGCGCTTCACCATCATGTTGGTCGCCGTCATTACTAAGGTCGTAATTCAGCACCAAATTCTTGATCCGTTGTTGCTCTTCGCGCTCAGCCTGTTGCTGGGATTTCATGGCGACTGCAAAATGGGAATTCGAAGGCAGGTCAATCGTGCGGGTCTGCAACTGTGTCAGCAATCTGCACAAACAACTCTGTGGTGTTCAACTCTGGGCCTGTCCGTGTAGCCAGGCTTACCTGTTGACGGTTGCCTTTCTTTGTCATCAGAGCAAACGACATTGTGCTTGGAGGCGTCTGCGCGCCAGATTCTGCAATTTCTTCAACGAAGCTATTCGTCTCGCGCTGCCCACGCCGCATAGGCAGTGGCACGTCGAATAGGGGTTTGCGCTCGAACTTTCGCGAATCCAGACTTTCAGCCATCATTTTCTCGAATTCTTGATCAAAGTCAGCTTCAGCTTCGGGATCGAACTCCTCCTCTCGTCGTGTCACATAGATTTGCTCCTCTTCCGACTCGGACGTGGTTAGTTGTGGGGGCTCATCTACGTTCTCCTGATGGAATGTCAGCAGGACCTATATCACATTGGGCTGAGATGTAATTACTTCAGGTTCCTCAGCTGAAGAGCCCTCTTCTTCGACATCGGCCAGTAGCTCTCTTTCGACATCCTCATCAGAAGGAGAATCTTCGAGGTCGTCTTCATGCTCCGTCACCTTTTCTTGGTTTTGCTGGGTGTAGTTGGCCGTGATTGCTTCCGAGAATGCACGCGTCGCCTCTTGCAGATCAGTAATAAGCCTCCACTGTGGTCTCACCAGCGCGAAAGTGTCTTGTACGATGAAATCGATGTCCATTGGTAGCACGTCCTTGGTTCTGATATAGTATTGGAAGAAAGTGAGGAAGAAATCCAGCTTCTTGCGAGAATTTCCACGGTCAAAGCAGACACCACAGGTATCCAGAATGGTGCATACTAGGCGAATTCGGAAGAAGTCGTCTGGCTGATCGAGCGGATTGACCTTACCAGGGGCCGGTGTGCCTCCTTCGTGACCAAACGTGACAATGCGATAGAGCATGTCGAAAATGACGGTGGAGTCAACTAGTTTGTAGTTATAAAGTTCACCAAGGTATTTGACATCTGCTATTCTTCGCTGGCTGAACTTGAAATCATTCTGCTCCAAGCCCAGAGTAATCTGTTCAAGGACGTTATCGATAATTCCAATGACGAAGTCTTGATGGTAGCGATACAGAGCACTAGCCAAGATGGCTAGCAGATGTATGTTGCTGAATTTGACTTTTCCTGGCTTGCTGAATATCTTCTCCAGTATTGCAACAACCTGGAAGTCGTTAGCAACTAAAGACTATGGAACAGTCTGACCATACCTCGGACTCCTCCCAATGGAGTTTGCGGATCGACTTGAGGATCTTGGTGTAGTTCCTCTTGTTCATGTCAAGGTAGATCAGCTGGCGAATGAAGAGATCCATCGGAGTACGCTCCTTCTGCTGTATTGCCGATCGCTGAGGTGGATCAACGTAGTACATAGCATTCTCGATTAGCATCCGCTCTTGCTGGCCTAGATGCTGTGCTGATTTCTTGCGATTCAAGGTTTCTAAGAAAGAGATCATGCGAGGGGAAGTACTGGGATTACGAAGCAAGTAGCGCCCACAATTCTCCAGCAGATTGCCGATGATTTCGATATTCATTCGCGTAAGCTCATCGAGACAGACTTTGAAACAGTGAAAGATGACGTGATCCGGCACGACTCCGAACTTTGTAAGCTCTGCCAGATAACGAATGTTGAGCATTCGAATTTGTCCCAAAAAATCTTTTGACTTGCGGCGCTGAAGGCTGCGAAACTCATCATCCAGGTAGGAAATAAGGCCTTGCGTGATATCTGGCAGATACTGACCCAGAGTGGCTACCAGTCTAGCATATAGAGGTAAGAGGTCTGACCGGCCTTTGGGTACCTCAGAAACAGTCTTGATAAGTCGATTCCGGGACGCTTTTGAATTGAGAAAGCAGAATTCCAGAGCGAATTGGTCCACCATATCTTTGGTCTGCAGCTCAGGAAGTCGAGCAAGTAAAGCGTCGACTTGTGTACCAACCGTTTTGCTTACTGCTTCCGTAGACTGGTCTTCACCATCAGTTGCTTTGGTCTCTGAGTCGGCCGCACTGTCCCCCATTCCAGCATTAGCACCATCTTCACCTGCGCTGGCTGGTCGTTTTGGTACGGGGTCATTTGCGTTGGCTTTCTTCTTCTTAGTGCCATCCTCCAGCAAGACAGCTGGCACTCGGCCTTTGAGATCTACCAGATTCTCATAGAAGCGGCGCTCATCCTCGTCCTCCCATATACCTGAGCCATCACTCTGGCCTTTGAGGTAGTCCCCTGTCCTCACAAGTCCAATTCCAGTAGCAGCCGTAACGTCAGCTGGCTCTTTCTCAGTGAGATCTGGCATCTCCTCACCAAGGATATCGCAAAGCGTCTGGGCGCTTGCAATGAGCTTCTCAAGTGTCTTGGTCTGCTTTTCGAAATTGGCCTGTCGGTCTTCGAAGACTTCTCCGCTCTTGACGTAGGCCTCGGCATTTCGACGACTCTGAATGTTGAGAGCCTTTTGGTCCCGGATAAGATGAGACTTGACGTCTTCCAGATATTTGACTAGGATATTCGTAAATCGAGTTTGTAGCTTTTCAGACACCAAAGGTGACTCATCATCAGCAAACTCATCCGACTCATTCTCGTCACTAGAAGCCACATCGAACGATTCTTTGATGGGGCTTGACGTGGCACCATCAGCTTCCAGAGTCGTCCTCTTCTTGTTTCTTCCTGCGCTGAGCCCCAGCACATCCCAGCTGAAGCTTTTGACAAAGAGGACCGCAAGCGATAGGTTTGTATGATCGCGATCATGCCCGAGAAGCTCTTTGAGAACCTCTAGAGGAAATGGATCCGTGTCCTGCTCCTGTTCCGTGCGATTTCCAGAGACCTGGGTCTTCGTTCGAGAATTGTTGTCACCTTTGTTTGCAATTGGTGATTGACTTTCCTTCCCCTTCCCAGAGGCATCCTCAGGCCGCTCCACGTCCTCCAGACTTCTGAGTACACCCACCAGCCAAAGTTCTGTGACCACCTTCAACAGTGTGCGGTGTCGAAGTAGGCGCTCCTTTTCCTCTCGCTCCCGCACATCCTGACTCCACGTTTTGACCTGTGCCTTATCGGGCGCACTTAATCCTCGGCCAAGCAACCACCCAAGCTGTTTCGTAAATTCGGCCGGACCAAAGCGCTGATGTAGAGCGCTGACGATCTCTACCCCTGCGGATATCTCACCAGGGGTCTTCAGTTTCGCAATACCTTCGGCAGTGGCAGAGATAATCTCAGATATGTATTTTTGCAGGGATAATGTTCGAACTTCGGTCAGAAAGCCAGTCAGGGCAGTCGCGGTTATGCCGGTACGCAAGCGCTTGATGAAAGCAGTGTTTTTCTTAAGGGATGAATCGAGGGAGTTTCCGACATTGAGAATGTCTGCGATCGCATTAATCACCCTGGTAGAAGTCTGCTGGTGGTGGGATGTTACCTCTTTCGCCTGCCCATGCGCGCGCATTGAGATCACGTAGTTCGCCTGCGAGGGTTGATCAGCTTGAACTCAATTACATGCGTCTGAGCCGCATACGCTTTCGTCTGCGGTCCATGGCCAGCCACAGCGGCGTTCTATGATTCTTAAGGACCCTCCAGATGGAATGGGATATGCTTGAATCTGCGCAGCCACATCGGGTCTGGGTTGGAAGCAAGACACGTGTTTCTGGACGTGAAGAACCACGTTGCCTTTGCTACGAATGTCAATGGACCGCGTCTGTTCACTTGTCAACTTTCTATGCATGCTACTTTGTGTTCAACCCAGTGTATGTGTGAATTCAGGAAGGCGTCATTATGCGCCAAGCTACTCCCCATGGACTATGTATGACTCTTCGCAAGGTTTCAGACCTTGTGACTCCACTAGTTACGGTAGTTATCACCAGGGCATTGCTGGGAAAAGAATGTGAACGATACCGATGGATCACTCATGACTTACACTCCCCGCGTACACATTTAACATCATGTCATAGCATGCTAGGCAATTCCTGTAGATGGCTTGGAATATCAGCACTTGATTGTTTTTTCAACATCGAAAGCTTTGTGCTGGCTGCCTCTGTTAAAGTATGGTGGCTGAGCCAGGTCTTGGGTTGTAAATGCCTCAATACGGTCTTATTCTCTCGACGAAGACTGGCCTCTGGAAAGATGTAACCTCTTTGGTTGCTGATCAGCCTTAATCTTCCCTTCTGTAGGTGGGTCGAGTAATGTATGCCTGAAAAGCCAAGTATGGTAAGTCGAATATGATGAGAATGTGTTGCCCTCGCTGTCTAGTAATTCTGTTGCGAAAGTATATCCATAGATATTTGTCCCATGTTAGATTGCACTACAACCACGGATGCTCGGAGCGTAGTGCGTTACAACAAGGATAGGACGTAGGGAACGCGAGCCAGCAACATCTTCCTTCTCTGCTGCATGAAGTTGATCTTGTAGTCATCCAACGTCCTAAACATGTTCCGCGTTGTGGTCGTCCACTATCCAATCCCTGATCTTCCTGAAGTTGTTCACCTTGCTTTCAACCGCTCTGTGGCTCTGAGGTGGAATGTAAGCCTGCAGGGTACAGCCCAGAATCGTGATGCTGTCAGATACGTCCACCAGGGTACGGTTCAAAACAGAGAACTTGCCTTGAAGGAGTGGTTCTTCTTTGCTGCTGCAAGACCTTCAGCTCTCAACCCCTAAAGAATTCATGATTGCCCAAAACAAGAAGAACATGCGGGAAGGATTGGCGCTATAAAGAAAGGAAGCCAAGCAGCCCTTCGTAGTCGTAGAGCCGACTAATGTCGCCAGCTGATACTAAATATGGAGTACAGGGTGGTATAACAAGGTTTGGTACTGCTGACCTACCCGGATGTGCCGGGTTGACATGGTCTGGAGATTATCTGATGTGTAATAACGGAAGAGATGTGCAGGGCTGGGGTAGGCCATCTTCTGGATTGGAGTCAGGCTATAGGCCCAAGTACGATGTAGACGTAGGATAAGATGTCTGACGTTCCATACCACGCACAAGCAGAAGACCCCTCAAACTGTGATTGCGCCTGCGCTTCTTGAGAAGAGGCCCAGTGTTACACCCGGGCTTCACGTAGGCGGTCACCTTGCTGCAATTCGAATTCTGGATTCTTGCATAGCGTTTGGTGTCCAATGTTGACAGTCGGTGTATGCAGGTGACCGTGTTGCATATGTTGTCAAACTGCTGAATCCCACCGATTAGTAACCTTGGATCTGGGTACGTATGACAATGGACATATCAAATCGCAAGCGGGAGCATCCCCAGCATCACACCATTCTTCCAATGAGCTGCTGAAGGGTGACTTCAACAGCTGTCCACCGTCCACTGTCCACTGTCCACATCCTGCAGACAATGTATGAAGCTCTTTAATTCGATCGGAGATGTATGCTACCTGGAACAGAAGAAGGTTAGCCAGTAAGCTACCGGATCCTTTGCCGGCAAGCAGGGTCTGGAGGTCTTTTATTCTTCAGGAGGGTTTGGGTCCTTCGGTCCTCCGGTCATTTACTAACTTAGCCTCACATGTCGTCGCCGGGAAGGGACTAAGCTAATGGGCAACCCCCCAAGGATGGAGGAACAATAGCGCAGAAGGCTGCCTGCGGTCAGTATCACTGACTCGCCGTCTCAAGCACACAGCCTGTTGCCGCTGGTGCATGTCATTGCATAGATCAGGCAGAAATTGCTCAGCCTCTGAAAATTCTGCATGCTGCCTATTATGCGAGTGTTCTAAAAAGCTCATGTCCTGTCCTGTCCATTTTCGCTCGGTGCTTCGATCCTTAACAGAGGGAGTGATAGAGTCATCAAGACCGGGCACAGTTCAATTTGCTTGACTAGTCACGCGTCCTTTCTGAGCCACAGGAGCCTGATAGTCCTGGGTTTCTCCCACCATCCTGACCATCTTGTGTGTCACTGCTACCTTTGCTGCCTCTCTCCCAACTCCCACCACTCTACCTTTTCTTTTCCCGTTATCGTACATAATATCTTACTCGACTACAGCTGAGCTCTCTACCCCTTGTGCGTCTGATTAGACCGGCAAAGAACCCTACGACCATGGAGAACGTGAAATTGGAGCCCTCAGAGACGAAGCATGAGGCAGATGCACCTCAAGAAAGTGGCGCAGCCAATCAGTTGAAGAAACTTAAATCACCAGGCGCTGCCGACGCGAAAGACAAAAGTGCTGGCTGCAAGAAGCATAGTAAAAGGTCTCGGAAGCTTCAATCACGGCCGAAGGTAAAGAAGGAGCGCAAGAAAGCGGAGCAGTCGAGCGAAAGTGACAGTAGCGATGACTCATCCTCCTCTTCTTCTTCGTCTTCAGAGGAGTCAGACGGCACTGACGATACCGACTCCAGTAGTGAGTCGAGCGACTCAGACAAGCGAAGCAAAAGGCGGAAAAAGGCCAGAGCGAGGGCGAAGAAGCAGAAGGATGCGAAGCGAAGTCGATCCAAGAGGCACATTATAGATTCATCCACAAGTGACTCTTCTGACTCAGCAGATGACGACGACGAATCTTCAGCGAGTGAAAAGACTACCAAAAGGTCTCTGAAGGCGAAAGCCAAGGCGAAAGCAAAAGCCAAGAAGGCAGCGAAGCAGAAGGCCGAGGATGAAGTGGAGCCGGATCAGGTCGCTGGGAATGACCCTAACGAGGCTAGACTCCAAGCGGTGGAGGCACAGCTGGCACGATTGGGTCTCTCGGCTGGCGAATTAGGGACCCCAGCAGCTAAGCGACGAGCACGAAGAGCTTATCGTGCAGGATTCGCCAGTCAGGCAAATGATTTGGATGAGACGAGAACTCGTAGCAAGGCGCGGAGCAGCAAATCAAAAAAGAACAAGCGAGCCTCAAAGATAGCTTTCAAGCGGGTGGATCAACTCTGGGATTCGTCAATCCACAACTACAAGTTGAGCGAAACTGTGGACGATCCAGATGCCGACGAATGGAACCAATACATCTTCACAGTGCGACGGCAATTCGATTGGGAGCACAAATACGAGTCCACCTTCGTGGATATAAGAAGTAAGCCATTGAAAGAAGCCATTCAGCACGTAATGCAGGACGTGAAAGGTCTAAGTCTGGTGCAAGACACCCCATCACTGGATCCTAACATGCTCTTCCTGTACCTCGAAGAGCTACGAGCCTACCTGCGCGAGCTGAAGACGTCTGGCAAGAAAGAGAAGAAGAAAAAGGCGCGAAAAGCTGCCACCACGAAAGCACAGCACCTGAAAGTGCTTGTTAAGTATCTGGACAAAGACTTCGCAGAGACCAAGAAAACTTTGTATCCACTGCTGGAGAACGCCATGATCACATTCGATCTTTTATGGGCATTGTTCAAGCCAAACGACATTGTTTACACTTCAACTTACAACGATAACGAGCAACCTCGCGCCTTCAAAATCGAGTATGCAACCAAAGAATCGAGCTTCATGAATGGGACGTGGTATTCTGTTGAAGGCCGCTACCTAGAGTACGATGGTAAGGCATTTGGCATGGGCTCAATGCATGCCGAGGTTTCCGCGTTTAAAGGATCCCGGAAGATCTCCTCGCTCAGTTGTTATCCAATCAAGTACCACAAGAATGTAGAGGAGTTGAAGACAAAGCTCATCGAACGAGGTAAGAAATTTGTCGCTTTGAAAGGCATGAATTATCGCTTCCACAAAGGTAAGCTCTGTCCTTCGCCATCATCTCGATGAAAAAGATTGACGCAACTCTACAGGGATGGCATACCTGAAGAAGAAGCGGGCAGTGCTGAAGATCAATATCAATGGTCGGGTCATGGTGGACCCTGCGATACACAGACGCATCAATCCTAACTATCAGGTCAGCACTGTCAGGCCCAAGGAAGAAGATGATTATTTCGAAATGACAGACGAAAGTGGCGATGATAGTTGTGACTGTTGCGGCGGTGGTTCGAACAGCTCAGAGATTGGAGAGCAAGATAAACGCACCCCTTCGTCGGATGAGTCGAAGCCAAAGAAGAAATTCAAGGTCATTGAAGATGAGAACGGTGACCACCACGTAGTTGAAATCAAGTCAGACGATGAAGAGGAAGAGATCATGCCAAAGGAGAAGCTCGACAGCCTCGCACAACGATCCAAAGAAGATTCCTTTACAGATGACGAGCTTCTAATAGCAAGTCCGGTTGTCCTTGGATTCGCCTTCAGTGAGAAACTTTGGCTCGAATTCACTGTTTCTGGCATCAGAGATGTCGAATGGAACAAGGGCGCCTACGATTCGCTGGTTCTCCCTGAAAACCACAAGTCTATCGTAAAGTCGCTTGTAACCTCACACAAATTCAGCGCGGCCAAGAACATTGACGACGTGATCAGTGGCAAGGGTAAGGGTCTTGTTGCAGTCTTACACGGACCTCCAGGCACTGGAAAGACTCTGACCGCTGAGGGCATTGCTGAATTGCTGAAATGTCCTCTGTATATGGTCAGCGCTGGAGAGTTGGGCACCGATCCCCGCGTCCTCGAACGGAATTTGACTGACATCCTTGATATCGCTCATGCCTGGGGAGCTGTACTTCTTCTGGATGAAGCAGATGTCTTTCTGGAGAAAAGATCGATCCACGACATCCACCGCAACGCATTGGTTAGCATCTTCCTCCGACTGCTGGAGTACTTCCAGGGCATCCTCTTCCTGACCACCAACCGGGTCGAGACCTTCGATGACGCCTTCCAATCCCGTAAGATGCACTCTTTCCACGCACACCTCTTCTTGACAAACAGCTAACATCACAATACAGGGATCCACGTCGCGCTCAGATACGGCGAGCTGACCACCAAAGCCAAAAAGAGCGTCTGGCAGATGTTCGTCGACAAAGTCCGCAACGTCGAGGGTGTCGAGGTTGCAGAGTTCAACGAAGCCGACTTCGACGCACTGGCCAAGCACAACCTGAATGGACGACAGATCAAGAACTCAACCCGTGCGGCACAGGCGCTCGCCCTCAGCGAAGCTAAGCCATTTTCCATGTCACATCTCACGCGCGTGCTGCAGGTCGCGCAGTCGTTTGAGCAGGATCTGAAGGGTGGCACGGGGTATGAGGATGCCATGAGAAGTTATACGTAGGAGGGAGTTGAGGTTTTGGCGACAAAGTCTTCGTTCCGTGCAGGTGAAGGGGCAAGAGACCGTCGTGGTGTTAAAAGTTGTTACGGCCCAGTGCTTTACATTCCTGCTATCTCGTATCCCGTGGATTTTAGAAGCGTTGGCGAAGGATAGGTATAATAATCTCATTCAGGATTCAGATACTGTACCCGGCAGGAGAAAAGAGCGACAAGATAAAGGTATCACTCCGCATCTTCAAACTGTAGGATACCCACTTCGATCCTCTGCCCATCGCTTCTAAGTTAGTTAGCTTCGGGGCTCGTCGAGGTGCCTTTCACCAATATCGATAGAGATTTGTATCATGCTTTCCGTCCAGCAAGATGCTTTACGTAGAGAGATGGACTTTCATCTGACTTGTCGATGAGAGCATTTTCTCTTCGAGAGGAAGACAGCCAACGCTTCAAGACGCCAACAGGGACGTCTCGAGCCGCACAGATATGTTTCTATCACACCCTACTCAACGCAGACAGATATATCATGCGGCCAATGCGAATCTGGGTGTCCCTTTATCCTCACATCAGGATCAGTAGCCTCTCTCGGCCAGGTAAAGACGTGCATACACTGTGACCTGCAACTTGAATTGTGGCCTCGGTGAACCGAGGAGACCATGCATGTCGCTCCCAATTCGGGCGAGGGTGGGGAGCACGGCTGCTTCATGGTCTTCGACGCAAAGTCCCCAAACATCACGGTAAGGATACTTTAAGAACCGGGCAGACACAGGCTTCGAAGTTCGGGTTGTTCATATACAGCAAGAAGGAGGTATACACGGACGGGTATCGCCCCCTCCCCTCGCGAGAGGTTGTGCCTCATTCTCATTCTATTTCTTCATCCTTAATTTCCGCCTCTTCTTTCTTAACCGCCTCATCTTTATTTGCCTTCCCTTCCCTAAACGCCTTCCTCAACTCACACTTGCCCACATTCTTCCCTCCAGCCTTACACTCATCACATCTCTTCCCATGCGTCACCATCAGCACATGCAGACCGTATTTATCTTCATCGGGCACCCTGACATCCAGATGCGCCTGCGTGGCCTCTCTACCCGCCTCCTTGGGCCTCCAACCCAGCAACCCGGCTATCCGCCAGACGTGCGTATCCACTGCAAAGCTTTCCCTCCGCAGACAGAAGAGGAGCACACACGAAGCCGTCTTGGGGCCGACACCCTGGAAGGACAGCATTTCTTTATATGCGTCGTCTGTTGACGCATCATGTAGATGGTCGAGGCTGTATTCTCCATACTTGGCATGGACTTGCTCGAGAATACTGAGAATGACCTTGGACTTGACAACGGCCAGGCCACCACATCGGATGGCATCCTCGAGCTTCGCTTTGCCGCCTTTGGCAATGGCCTCCCAGTCGTCGCTGCGCCCGTAGACCTCGTCCATGCTCAGCTTTGCTCGCGTGCTGTTGGTACAGCTGGTGTTTTGGGAGAGGATGGTGCGGACGAGGGCGTCGAGAACGGAGGGGCAGTCGCCGCAGCCGGCGGCGTTGGAGGGTGCGATGAATGCGGCGGGCCGTTGGCGTGGGCCGTGGAGGGAGGAGAGGATGCTGAGGGCTAGATGACATTCTGTGGGTGTTGGATGCGGGAAGGTTAGGAAGGGAGACTTGTTCGCATATTGGGAGTAGGATTTTAGTTTGCGAGCTTGGAGGTCTTCCGCGTCTGAGCGTGGCTCCTTCTTCGTGCGTTTCTTCTTGGGAGATGCTTCTTCTGGTGACGGTTGAGGGCTGCTCGTCGAAGCACTTGGGCTCGGAAGAATCTGCTTGCTCTCCCATTTGACTTTGGCCTTGCTGGCTGACTTCCGCTTAGGGGATGATGAATCTTCTTTTTTAACTGCCCGGCTCGATCGTGTGGATCGTGTAGATAGAGGAGGACTGTGCAGCTGAGCTTCTTGTGCGGCATCTTCTTGTTCCTGCTTCACCTGCGTCCTTGTCCTCTTTGCCATCCTCGTACAGGTTTCTCGAATGAATTGACGAGTTCGATAACGCAGTTGTGCCTGCCGGCCAATTGGCCAAAAGCTTCTCAATTTCCAGCTGCAAACAAATGATGCTGCAATGTTTGAATTGCTCCACTGAAACATGCACCGTTGGGCTGAAGTAGTTGACGCAGGATGCCGCAGTGATTAGAACTTCTTAGATGCAAGGTCGAGGTGCTGATGTCACACACGCGAGGCCGTTCCTGTCGATCATTCTTGAAGAAACAGGCCAGACCTCAGCCTTCAGTGTCCGCTAAGACTTGAGAGTGTGAAATAAAATGCGCCTCAGGCTGGGACACCCCAACCGGCCAATTCAGCATGAGTTGTATAGATCTCACTAGCAATCGTGTAACTTATTACTGACAGACTCGTCGATGCTTCGTTGGATTTTCTTATAGAGCAACATCTAAATGCTCGTCGAAATGGGAGACTCAGCTGGGTCCCGGCATGAGATTGGGGAAGCCGGGTACGAAGACCAAAACAACCAGACACAGTGGGAGCGGTAGTAACAGCACCCCTACGAACGCAAGCCAGGAAAACAAAGTAGACACTAAAAGGTAAAGAAGTTTTGGAGAACTTTCTATTTTGGAAGAGGCACAAGGTCTATACTCTATGATGACTCTGTCCCCGGGAGGGATATGAAAATGCCTCTGGACTCTTTTTCCTGCCATTGATACGATCCGTAAACGATTGATCCATAGCAACGCTAAGCCCATGGACCCCCCAGGGCCGTGCAACTCCAACCATATGATACATAAGAAACACGAAATACTGGCGTCAAAAGCCGCAGACCACAAACCGGACTATTACTCCTCATCAGAGAAGACCTCTTCGCCACGCTTGCGGCGGGCCATGCGGTCCTTCTTCTTCTTTCGTAGCTCGGAAGCAGTCAGCTTCTTTGCTTTCTTTCCACCCTCGATCTTGTTGCCCATGGCATCGAATTTTTCCTCGTCATCATCCTTGTCAGTCAGGCGTGGACCAGTACCTTGACCCTGGACCCAGTTGTGACCAGATGGAGTCATCTTGCCATCTAGGACAGCCCAGACTTCCTGTGTGATGGACTCGGTGAACTCGGCGCTATGGGAGATGATGATCACACCACCTTCGAAGTTCTTCAGAGCTTTCGACAGAGCGCCAAGGGAGTCTCGGTCGAGGTAGTTGGTAGGCTCGTCGAGAACAATCAAATGAGGTCGTTGCCACGAGCAGGCAGCAAGCACTACCTTGACACGCTGACCACCAGACAAACCACGCATGCGGGAGTGGGACACAAGCTCAGCGTCGAGACCGAAATTGGCGCAGTGCTGTTCGATCTCCTTGCGGACCAAGGGTCGGAATTGGCCGCTGGCAAGAGCTTCTCTCTGATCGACCTCGGCTACTTGCTTCTGATGTGAAGCCAGAATTTCAGTTCGGGGGATCCAAGCGTTGTCGGCAGACATCATGGGTGTCCATTTCTCATTCTTCTGCCCCACATTTTCACCCAGCACGAAGGAACACTCATACTCGTAGGAGTTCTTGAACTTTCTCCGCGAGTGGATGCCGATGACCCTTCGTTGTGACCCATCGATTTTGTAGATCTTGTCCATGGCTTTCTCATCATCCGACGTAACGATTTTGTTGGCTCGGTCCATAGTCTCACGATCCTCACCAGTCTGGAATCGCCATTGAATATACTCAGACGGTGTCTTGTCCAAATGATGATCAATGTGAGCGAAGGCATGCTGCTTGATGTAGGCAATGCGAATGTTCTCATGCTGATAAACGTCACCAGCAGTGGGGATCAATTCGCCAGTCAAGACGTTGACAAGAGTAGACTTGCCAGCACCATTGGGACCAATGACAGCGATACGAGAGCCGAGCGAGCATTGGAAAGTGATGTCCGAGATTTGTGGTTTGCTGGTACCAGGGTATTGAAACTCCATACGGTTGACACGGACAATTGCCTTGGCCTTGGTCTTGACACCCTCGAGAAAACCAGGCTCTGGGAACTTGAATTCCATCTCAGACGCGCTAAGCTCATAGTAGGATTTGGCAGATGGCACCTTTTGAACGAATGCATTGAGATTGCCTCGGTAGCGGTGCAATTTGAAACGCTCGTAGTGGACGACGTGTTGGATGACATTGTTCAAGAACTTGCTGTCGTGCGAGACAATAATCGATGTACAAGGTGAGTTGATAAGATACTGCTCGAGCCAATGGACATTCTTGACGTCCAGATGGTTGGTAGGCTCATCAAGCAAGAGGATATCGGGCTCTTCAAAGACAGCGCGAGCGAGCGCAAGCTTCATCTTCCAGCCACCAGAGAGAGAAGTAATGGGTCCCTCGAACTGCTCCTCAAGGAAACCGAACTCTGTAAGCTTGGAGCGAATGTCTTCAACGGATGTCTGGACACCAACGTCGCGGAGTTTCTTCTCCGTCCAGCCAATAACAGTTTGTTCAGTATCAGCAGAATCGAGATCGTGCTCGACGAATACGGTCTTGACCTCAGACTTTTTGGGAAAGCCCTCGACTTGTTCATTATTGATGGCGCGCATGAGCGTAGATTTACCGGAGCCGTTGGGTCCGAGAAGACCGTACCGCTGGCCACGCTTGAGACGGAGATGAGTCTGATTGAGAAGAATCTTAGCACCATAAGCCAAGTTGAACGTGCAGTTGCAAAGATCTTCGCCCTCCTCGTCATCCTCCTCCTCTTCAGCCTCGTCAACAGCACCTGGGGAGGCGCGCTTGCGAAGAGTCTCTGCCACGGCTCGAGCATCTTTCTCACCCACAATAATTGTGATATAGTTGAGAGTGCTGTCAATCCAGCTGGCGAGATCAGTAACTTTCTCGTCGATCAGTTGACTAGCAATGGCTGAGACGTATTCAATTGCAGGCTCGTGTTTGGCGATCTCGGCCTTATGCTTCGATTCAAGAATCGATTTCAAGATAGCAGAGACGGTGGCAATGTCACCTGCTTTGGAAACCTTGTGTCCTTCGCCGTTCTTGACATCACCGACGCGATCAAGAGTTTCAAGACCTTGCTTGGTCTTCTCTCGGGCCTCTGGATCGGCAATTGTTTCATAATTCTTAACAAGATTAGGCCGAAGCAGGGGAATGAAAGCAGCGACAATCTGGGGATCTTCGACCAGCTTGCACATGTTGTCGACAATGACAGCAGACTTTCGCTTGATGACGGTGTCATTAGTTTTCAAACCACGGTCGAGAAGAGGAACCATGATGGCTAGAGTTGGCTCGTGAACGTCAGTTACGAAGGTGGTAGCACCAAGCAGGTGAACAGTCTCAGGCACGTTTTCCGGTTTGGCGATACATTTGATCAGCTCTGGAATGAACTTCTCGATATCTTTGTTCACGATGAGACCACAGGTCTTCTCCATAGCGGCATATGCACGCTTCTTGACCTCAGCTTTGGTATCCCACATGGCGGCAGAGATGACTGGGATGAGATCCGGAACACGGAACGAGAGTTGTGCGGGTGCATTTTCGACCAGTGCATCGATGCAGTCGAGTGCTGCGATTTTCTCAGGCCACTTCTGCGCAGCCTCAATGGACTTCAGAATTGACGGAAGGGCGGCTTTAATGGCATTGGGATTGATGGCCCTGGCGATGGCAACAGCAGCTGACTGTGCGGCATTTTTTACCGAGACCATCTTGTCACCAACAGCGGCCAAAGTGGAAGGGAGTAGAGATATGAGGTAGGGTTCGAAGGCAGGCGAAATGGCGGAGTGGGATGCTATAGCAGTGATGCCGTTAAGAGCTCGTTCTCTAGCAAGAGCATCTTTCTTGTTATTGAGCTGCTTTCTCAACGACTCGACAGCCCTAGAAAAAAGAGGTCAGCCCAAGGCCAGAATGAAGATGACTAGGAAATTTGCTATAACGCAAAACTGAAGCTGAAGGAAACTTACTTTGCTGGTAATGATTGCTCTTCGATAGGACCGTGAAGCAGTGTGGCAACGTTGGTAGCAGCTGTATTGGCTTCATCCTGGCTTTTGGATATGGTCAAGTTCTTGATCAGCTCCTCCAGAACGCCGATGGATTTGGAGGTTTCTTTGGCTGTAGTAGCTGGTGTAGACTCCATAATGTCGACGGCAGGCATTGTAGTAGAGTTGCAGATGCGCTGCGGATTGTATGGGATTGTTGCGGTCGCGTGAAGGTGGATAAGAGTTGGTGGATCTGAGAGCTGAATGAAAACAGCGGTCTATTGGGTATCTTGGAATGCTGCGCCCACGGACTGCGTCAGAAAACGCAGATCACGCTCTATGCTGGCGTCAATGACAATCAAGAGGCGAAAATGAATGCTCCAAGAACTCTTGTAAAGAGAAAACTGAAGGAGGACTTGATGGAGAAGGAGAGGAGAGGGTTGTCTATGGGAAGGAGGAAAGGCGAAAAGAAATATCGAGGCGAGGGCGGATTTTATCTGACTGTCACCCAGAAATTTTTCAGGTGACGCTAAGATTGCCTAGTGCGTTGCAGATGCAGATTTAGGCTTGGGCACTTCCGGGCGGTCAAGTACTCTCACCTCCAGCACAACTTTGACAGTCGGAGCTGCAATTTTGTCGTCGGCAGCTACGCCTTACCGAATCTAGATTTCTCTTCACAAAGCAAACAGCAACAAGGAGATTGCAAACTGCTGGCGATTGGAATAGATGTGATGGTGTATCTTCACTCTGTCTTCTGGGTCTATAAAACCCTAATCCCAGCGCCTGCCTCCAACGCAGCGGCGGGCCGTTCTAAATATGGGTTCCACTCAGCCTTAACGCTAGTGAGCAACATCCACCATACAGGTGAGAGACAATCAACATCTAGAGACAACGGCTCTAGTGCAACAAGCAGTCACTTTTAGCAAAACCTGCTGCTAATTGGAGCAATGTCACTATGCTGACTGCTAGGATGTGACTCATTTCTACCACCATCTGCAACCTGCCGAATAATCAATCCTCAAAGCCCAGCCAAAAGCGAGACCCATGAACTCATGGGTTCTTTCTAGTTGTGCCCCTTCCCTGACCAAGATCAGCGGCACCTGGAGCATGGCAATTGGTAGGTAGCAATCACGGGTACACAGTCTTATAAATCGATGCGACCCCTTTCACATCCGAGTCCGTGGTATTTTTTGGACTTCCCCAGGTTATGTCCGATATATTGCCCGTAATCGATCCCTCCTGGACCCGTTTCCCCCTTCCCCGTGATAAGGATTTGCTCCACAGGTTCCACTCGACCCACAAAAGTTCACTCCCCCACTGCAGTTCTGTGGGGAGATACCCGAACTCCTACTTTTGACCGAGAATTCCACTGGATTATTTCGTCATTCCAGTATTTGTTGAGACTAGCCTGGTATTTGATGCGTCGGGGGCGCCGATCCATCCTGACTGGAATAACAGTTTTGCCGCATGATCTACTGTGTAGTAACCTTATAGGAAGTTCCGCGACTCATCCGATTTGTTATGGCCGACAGATCTAATCATCTAGTCATGTTGATTTGCTCCGATTTCATTATTCGCCTTATCTACTTGTATTTGTATGGCTGATACGATACTGGAGAGCTACCCCTTAGATCATCATTCCGGGGTAATGTTGAAATGTGGTACTTGAGACATTCCCTACTACTAGAGGACAAGCACTCTTCGGGTCGAAGTACTGCGAGAAATAAATCATTGAATTCATGGAGTCGTTATCTGCACTATTGTAACATATCCGAAGGAAATAGCTTAAAGTCGTGAATCGTCACTCGTCACTTCCGAATCTGCATATTCACGTAACGCCGTAGGAAATAACTCGAAATCGTTAACCTTCATCTGAAGCTGATAATCAACCTCAACCCGAGCCTCTTCTACTAATGTCTGCGTCTTCTCCGATCATCGTCACTGCTGCTGTCACTGCTACTCGAATCGTCCCTTCTCCTGCTTCGACTTCTAGCACTTCTAGAATGTCGGCGGCGCCTTCCCACGTCAGGTGGATATAGATGTCCACCTAGAGGCGGCGGCGGCGCGCTTCCACGCCGACTTCTTCGATGGCTGCCGCCATGTGAGTCTGTCTCACCGTCGCCATGTTGCCTGGATTTCCTATGCTTCTTCTTCTCGCGACTTTTCTCACCTTTTTCTGCTGCCTTGTGTGCCGCATATCCACCGACTAGCGCTCCGAGAACTGTGCCCACCCCTCCACCAGCGAATTTATGCCCAAGGTAACCACCGCCAGCTGCGCCCACAAGATTGGCACCAATACCTCGCTCAGCAGCATGGCCCGATTTTTCCCCTTGAGCGGACGGTGGCCGGTTTTGGTGAGAATGCGAGTTGGAGCGGTGGTGACGATGGCCACGGCTATCACGGGATGAGGAACGCTCGCGAGGCGGCGGCTCGAAGAATGGAACGAGCTGACCTTGGCTTCCACGAGGTGCGTATTGAGGCTGGGGAGCGTGCGCAGAAGATGGTCGGAGTGAATCGGGATGATAAGGGGCAAGCGCGCTATTGGGAGGGACAGGAGAGCGGTAGAAGTCTCTTTCTTGTTCGCGTGGGGGTTGGTATGAGTTGTAGTGTGGCTGTGGCTCTCTATGTCAGTACCCGGCTTCTCAGATGGATCCCAAGCGAGGTCGACAGAAGTCATACCTGTGGCTGTGGCTGTGGTTGCGGAGGAGGCGGATAATATGGCTGTCCTTGTGGAGGTATATAATGCTGTTCACCGCCATAGGCAGGTTGATAGGGAGGCTGTGGTGGTTGATACTGATTGCCTCCTGGCGGCGGTGGGGTATAAGGTTGATTCTGGTAGTAGTTGTCTCCCATGCTGTCACGGATTGCGATGCTCGCTCAGTGGATGATGCAAATGGTAGATCAGTAGAAATCCAAGTTGATCGGCAAAACTTTGGTAGGATGTACAGACTGTGCGCAAGAAGCAGAGCACCAAACTTGGTAGGTTATATGGCAATACTTTCGTTGGGTCAAAAGGGACACTGACTCACCAGTCTGCTACAGTAATAATGTCAAGGCTGTGTCATGCTGCGTGTCAGGCTCCCTGCAGCGGCTGAGGAACCAAGCGGCTTTGGCGGCAGCACACTGAGTGCATAGGGGTGGGACAAGGCTGAGGAGCCTTGACACCTGAATTTTCGCGTTGAACCATTTAATCAGTTGAGCTTGGCGGTGGTTCTGTAAAGCTATTTGATCGATGTACTCCCCATCTAGACGTTGATATTGCATTTTCATCCTGAATTTGGCGTTGGCAGCTGTGGCAAACCTCAGCTCTGCACCAAATCCGCAAAGGAGGTAACCAGCGTCACGTGATTCGTCTTCCAGCGAACGGCGCACCTTATGTTCCACCTTCCCATCATCTTGCTACCCACGGTTTGCGAATGAAACTCGTCTCTGATACTGTTTAAGATCTAGTAGATTGCAAGCGAAGCAAACCGAGATGCGTATCTTTCTTTTCTGCATGGATTGCCAGCGGTTAAGATGGCTACGGCCTTCGCGAGCTGCCTACACATTCCCCCGCGCATGGAGAAAATAAAGGCCCTTATGATGTTCATGTTGTCGCAGTACATGGTCTGGACGGAGACCTCTACGAATGTTGGACATTCCAACAGGACAGAAACCAGAGTACGAAGTATTCCGGTTGTCCGACTTACAGCCAACCGATGTGCCGGGTGCCCACGCCTAGACCATCGGATATAATTCAAACTCCCAATCTAGCATGTCCGTGGCCAATGTGATGTTAGAATGTTGCTTCACCCTTTGAAGTGATTATTCTGTCAAAGTATGCCGGAGACGTCTTGAACTGAAGGGACGGAGCTGGACTTTTCAGGGAATCATACAACGTCGAATCATTTTCATCTGCCACAGTCTTGATGGCGTAGCAGTGGCGGTGTAGCCTGAGCAAAGGCTGAGCCGGAGTTGAGCCGGCTGACTAAGGTAGGGAAAATGGCTAACCCAACTGGGTGCTAAGGCGTAGTCAAGATTCGGTGCAGGATAGTACCAGAAGATCCACACCCGAATCTTGACCTCTCCACTACGTAGTAAGTTCCATTTCCAGTTTGAGACCTGAGCACACGTGACTGTGATATCAGCGATTAATAAGCAGCCTGAGCTGCGGCTGTAGGCTGTTCTGAGACTGAGCAAGACGTGAGCATCCCTGAGCATCTTCGAGCGTCAACTGAATTCTATCCTGAGGGGCCGGATCCTCACTTGTCCTTTTCAGCTCTCCGGCTTCCTTCCACCGCCTTTGATTGCAGTATGTGGACGCCAGATAATCTAGTAGTAGCGACTGGTTGCAATCTTAGTAGATTGTGCGTACATGAGCTTTCCAATGAACGATGTTCCAACATCTACCGGATATTTGGTCCAAAACTCTATGACCGGGCTATCTAACAACGTCTTACAGCTCCCACAGAGTCATGGGTTAATGTCTTTAAACTATTCAACCATAGAGGGGTTGCCACATGACAGGTAAAGACAACAAAAAAACTTCAGAAAATCAATGGGAGGTATAAGTCAGGAAGAGAATCCTGCCTGGTCGTCTGTCCAAAGTCTAACTTTGGGGCATGTTTCTTTGACCACTTCCTTGTCAATTATGACAACATCTTTTACAAATACCTGAGCGACACACTCATCAATGGAGGCGGTCAAACGGAAGAAGAGCTAACAAAACGCTCTGAGAGAAAACCGAGGATCACGCTTTACACTCCAACCTCTCAAAATCCCTATGACCCTCATACGGCTGCAAGTACGCATCATCGGGCCAAGGAAGCCCACCCTCCACAACTCCAAAGTTATATGCAATCCTACTCTTAGAACTCCGATTTGCCGCACTAGCATGAACAAGATTCCCATGCATAAGAACCAACGTGCCGACCTTCACCTCAAGCTTTTCATACACGTAGCCACCATCTGCATTTCTTCCAATTTCCAAGCGCTCAACGATCCCCTGCTCAACCTCAGCCGCATACACCGGCCTCTCCAACGCCGCAAATTCAGCCAGCCCAGACTCGCCGGCTCGACAACGCCGCGTGAGCGGCAACATGTTATCTCCTCCGTGGCGTCTTGGAGAGCGTACCAAAAGGTCACGCAGCTGGGCGGGTAGGTGAAATTGCTACATCCATCCTGATGCGGAATGACCTCCGCACCGACTGCGTGCGCTTTATTGATGATAATGCTCTGCGTGACGCGCGGGTCTTGCAGGCCTAGAGATCGGGCGATCCGCCGGTTTCGGTGTGTGAATGTGGCGTGCCGGAAGGGGGGGAGGAGCCGGTGGATGCCGGTGCCCATACGGCGGATTCGTTGGAAGGGGGAGAGAGTTGGGTCGGTTGGGCATTCTGCTGGTTGGGGTTTAGGGGCCGTGGGTGTACAGAGGAAGTCTTGGACTGGGCTGGGCTTACCGTTGATAAGGGATGCGATGAGACGCCCGTTGGGTGTTACACCTGTTTTGCCCCCTTCTATGAAGTGTTCTTTTCGTGCGGGAGATTGGTTGTCGAAAAGATCTTCTACCGTTCTCATCATGCTTTCGATCATTTCTCGGATCTTTTCTTGCTCAAGGACGGCTTCTACCACCAGATAGCCGCTTTGATGGAAGAAGCTGACTTGTTCCTCAGTCAAACCGGAATCGTGCTGGCCCGCCGTACTGATCGAGTCGACTTCTAGGTTCGGGGTCGTGCTTTTCGATTGGAAAGCTCGGGAAGGACGATTAGAGAACCCTGCGTGTGAATATGTTTATTGGGGAAAGTGTCGCAGCCTACCCCGTTCGAAATATGCTCGAGGACGAGGGACGAATTCAGGACTTGAAGTGTATCAGCGATAGGCGGGGCATTTTGATTTTGGTTTTGATTGGTGAGCAACAAAGTAAGTAGCATCGGCCTGTCTTGTCCGTCTTCCATTTGCAGGGCTTCACAATCCTGCGCCATATTCACCTCTCGGAAATATCCAGTGTCCTGATATAAGCATGCACCCTCTCAGTGATTGACAGGAGATGTTGACAGCGATGAGATGTGAAGTCAATTTCGAATGTTGTCGTTGCTAGATGGTGCAACTTCAACCAGAGCTCGTCGTTTGAGAGATAGGGAGACATAAAGGAGGGCTATACTGGGGATTTCATATTAGTAACAAGCGATACTAGACATCATTTGCAGCTGGATTCGGCAAGCATAACCAGAAGTCTCGGAGTGGAATCTGACTGCATGTTAGCTGTAGGCCTGGATAAATCCAGACCAAGTCGGAGTTCTGTTCGTCCGCGTCGAGCAACCAATATCGAGGATGATAGGTATTAAGTGCCGGGATTTCAATTTACAGCGTGGCAAGTGTAAAGCACGATGTAAGCACGAGATCAGTAATTTTATATGGTGGGTTGTCTATGAGTGGTGTTGGACCAAAATGACCGCGGCCTTCAGAGGACCGTAAACTAGCTTTTGTCTGACACACCCCCCCAGGAGCTTTCGATCTAGGAAGCTACTGTTGTACGCTGCTGTAACTACGCGTTATACGCTTCACTTCCCTTCTATCCGGGACGCGGACTCGAACGCTGGGGCCTCTTGCAGGGAGTTGAGTTTAGTGTCTCAAAGTGGCTAGCGCTCTGAATGCGGATTATAAGGGCTCATAACTGTTGGACCAAAAGGACCGTAGCCCTCAGAGGACCGTAAACTAGGTTTTGTCTGACAAGTGGCTACTACGGGAGGGGCTTGAAGTGATGTTAGCCTAGTGCTAGTAGCAGCTAGTATTCGTTACTGCCTCACGGTGCTATGATTGGTTTAGACGAAGCTTGCTTTATGTAAATTGCTTCTTACTGATGAAGTGGATGGATGGAATTCGATCTACCTGCAGAACCTATCTCAGAAGGAGGAGAGGCTAATCTACTAGGCGCGCAGGCATGTGACGCCAAGGATTTGGCTGTACGCGTACCGCCAATTCCAATACTTACTGATCAAAGATTTACAGCTATTCTCTTTGAAGCTAAGCTTTTTTGTACAGGAGTCGTTTCCAGGCAAAGATACTCGCACGTAGTAAATACCTCTGGATATGGAGATCCCGCATCCGGAATAGGCCGCTGGCATTCTTCTATGACATCACGAGTCCACCAGTAAGGCGATGAACAGTCCGTTCATGCATTCTACTTTTAGGTCATCTCTACTGCGTGCACGCTAACACGGGATCCATGGAGTGTGTTGGTGCGTTGGCTTCGGAGCAATGGAACGATGGTACGATAGTATTTATGGTCTAAGTTACTGTGCATTGCTAAAGTGTTGCAATTCCTTGGCGCTACCCTCGAATTTCTGGCGCTGCAGGGCAGAATTGCAGTGAGGGCAGAGGATAGCCATTTACCACCAATTATTGTAGTAGAATGCCTAAAATCGCCTGGATAGTAAAATAGACTCTTTTGTGATTTTGTTACTAAAATTCTAAGATAAAAAATTATAATATTGAATTATAAGAAACGTTTAACCGTAAAGAGAGCTTTATAACATCTTTATAATATAAATAGAAAGGAGGATAATAAGAAAGATAATAAGGATTAAGATAGGAAGAAAAAGAATTTTAAAGAAAAGAATTTTAAAGAAGAGGATTTTAAAAAAAAAGATTTTAAAGAAGAGGAGTTTAAAGAGGAGGATTTCAAAGAGATTAGAGAAGGATTTTAAGGAAGAAGATTTTAAAGAGAAAGATAAAAAGAAAGAGGATATTTATAAGGAAGAGAATATCTACAGAAAGAAGGATAGCAAGAGCTCCTACAACCAGATCACCAGATCGTACACTACGCGAGCTACAGTAGTAATGCGCGAGCAGGTACTGTAATGTAACCCACCACCATCTTCTGAATGACCAGTGTGTTGCGTCGGTATGCGAACCATTGTAGTGAACCTCCACTCCGGGACACCATCACATCACATCACAGATCGTTTCGGTCGCTCCAGCTGATGCCGGAGCTCCAGTCTCCCTCTTGGCGAATAGATGTTGGTCAGTTAGTTAACCAAGAAGGCCTTAGTATCCACAACCATCCAGATCAGAAGGGAACACGGGGTTTCCTTTGACCTGTCAACATCTCAGCAGGGATGCCCCTGTCGACTGGTCAAAAAGGATATACCCATGATGCTCATTTTTGCGAAATCTAGAGCCCAGAGCGAGCACGCTTCCGAACCAATCTATGGCGAGACTCAGCAGTGAGGGGAGAGTTCCCTTTACATCCCTCGAGTTCACCTCGCTCATGCCCCCACCAGTTAAGATAAGTGAAGGTCCCCCGGTCAGACGCAACGCGCCACCCGGAAGCTATCTAGCTAGACTCTTTAACTAAAATTCACATCCAGTGAAAGGTAAATCTATCTGTAAATCAATCCTTGTGATTTGGACAAATTGTGCGCTCATCTCAGCACATCAACAAGCCAATCTGTCCAATAGACTTCCTTCTTTCTTTCTTCCTTTCTTCCTTTCTTCCTTTCTTCCTTTCTTCCTTTCTTCCTTTCTTTCTTCCTTTCTTTCTTTCTTTCTTCTTCAATTCGATTGGTTGACGACTTACCGAAGGGGGGATCTTTCCATCCCTGCCCCATATAGCAGACATATAGATTTGCCGGCGTCGATCCAGCGCGATTCGGGATGAAATGGATGGCAACGGGTTACGGAGAGTATGTATATTCGCTCTCTCGAAGCGTCTCACTTATGTGTCTTCTGTTCTCTAAGTGCTGTCTTAATCACGCAACCTCCCAATCGCTTGGACGTTGATCTGCTTCGGACCGCCGGGGACTAGACAGCTGTTAAGCATAGATGCGACCTGGCAGAGTAATGTAGATCTAAGCTCAGGATTCAGCTGGCCGACACCACGCATGCAAATGTCTCCGGGGATAATAAGCAGTGATGCATTCTCTCCACTCCATGTCTTTGGCCGTGGTTCCGTCTAGAGCCATATCAAACCGGCGAATCATGGTAGCGAACGCTATGTATAGCTCGCACCAGGCCAGGTTGACACCAAAACACATACGTGGCCCTCTACTAAAAGGCACTAGCCACTGTTCGAGATGCTGCGCACCTTCCCGCAGCCACCGATCAGGTTTGAAACTAAGAGCGTCCTCAAAGATTTCCTCGGATTGGTGGACGTGGAGTATGGACATGCCAACTATAGTGCCGCCAGGAATGTTTTGGCCGGATATAACAGCTCCTGTGGGGGGCACAACGCGTGTCAGGGACACGCCCATTGGAATGTGTCGCAGGGATTCTTTGATTGTTGCGGTCAGGAGCGGCAATGTTTCGAGATCTTTATGACTGGGTGGTGTCCGAAGATCTGGCCATACAGTAAGTAACTCGGCTTTCAGTCGTGCAAGTAATTCTGGTTGGTTTAGTATGTTCCAGTGGCCCATTAGCAGGGTATCAGCAACTGTATTTGCGCCAGCGAAAATCAACTGTAAACCTTCATCTTGTAACTTGGTGGAGTCAGGGACCGTTTTGCTCCTGTGAGCTTTCGCGTCCAACATTTGGTGAAAGATTGTCTGGTGTGGTGCCTCGTCTAGCTTTTCGGGATTCTGTAGCACCACCTGTAGCTGCTCTTGGATGATTGCCCGTACGCGGTAGATTATTGGGGCAACTCTCTCCGCATCGGGTAATGCCTTCATAATCAAAGATGGTGGTATGGAATAGGCGATCTTTCGGATAAGCGGGAAGTTCTTCAAAAGAGGGAGAGCTCGTAAACTGGCGTCCATTGTAACCATCAAGGGATCAGCAAAGGCCGGCGCATCCAATGCGTCCACACAGTTGCCGAAGGTAAAATACATGACAGTGTCGAGGGTAAAGGAGCGGAACGCGTATAGAAAGTCGACCGAGCTTTTCTCTGTGTTGACTCTGGTTATGGCAGAGGCTAGGCGGTTTGCCTGATTTCTTAGTTTCTGCACAAAGTGGTGCTTGAGCGTTACCACTTACATTTCGCCAGACGAGACCCTCGATATTTTGAATGGCTCTCTTAGAAAACATTGGTTGAAGTACCTCCCTCCGTTCCTTTGCGTCTTTATATTCGAGGAAGACGAAGGATGCGGAGCGGACACCAGGTGTCCGGTACAGGCCTTCATCCTTGTCCCATCTATTGTTCCCATGGTAGATATCGTGGAATGCAGAAGGCTTCCCAAAATGGAGCTTTACAAGTCAGACATAAAGCTTTAGACAATATCGGCAGAAACACTAACCTCATTTGGACCTATTCGAACAATCTCGCCTGCATAATGGGTCAGGATACACCATCAGCATTGCTTTCTCGATCTCACCATGTTTTTTGTGAAGGTCGAAGAGCAACCGAGCCAATGTTTCTTGTTGGAACACCTCCTTGTATGCTTTCCACCATGTAGTTGCGCCGGCCATCCGAGGCCCTGGGAAATGTCGCAGTGGGTGGAAGAAGACATTGTAGATTATAGGGTACAACCCCATTATAAGGGTTACGAACACCCCTATCCAAATCTCCATCATAATGAAAGTTGTAGCTTATTCGGAAAGTTGAGTAGAGAACCTTGATGGCTGGCTCGATATCAAGTATGGGATCAACGCGCACAACCTGATGATAATCGGCCCCCCCCATATTGAGCTTATGCGGGAGTTCGGCTTTTATGGAGGCTCACGCCTCGGTTGTAGGATTCTGTTGACCTTCTGAAAGGGCCTATTGGCCGCTTTTCATATGCGTAATCCCTGCTGCCAATTGTACATAGATCCACACTCTTTACCCCTGTAGCTATTGATCGACTTGCTTCTTTACGCCACCTGCAAAGCAGATTGATAGTCATAAGCCCGGGTGACGTGTTAGGGCTCAACTGGTTAAGACAAGTCTCACCTAGAAGCTGGGTCCAAAGGGTTGGTTGGGTAGAACAGGAAGTGCAGTAAACAATACTAGAATGTCTTCAACTTAGGTATGAGCTGATAACATGAGTTGACTACGAAGACTATGAAGCTATCTAGGAAATGAGCGTGCTTATATAGAGTAGAAGATTCGTGCTTAGAGTTGATCATCCTGATCACCTCTGATCATTGCTTATAAGTGCTCACCCTGATCACCTCTGATCATTGCTTATAAGTGCTCATCCTGATCACCTCTGATTATTATGTTGTCCAGGTCTGATTATATATGTAATTCAAGGTCTAGTTCTATTTAAGTCTATTATAGTTTCTTTATAGAGTGCTAGGTAGCTTTTTAATATCTATTAATATTTAGTATATTTATATATTATAATATTATTTCTTTTTTTTACTAACTTAATCTTATAAACTAAAAATATGTCTTTTAATTTCTTAAAATTTTATAATTTTTTTTAATAATAT